CTTGTATGGCCCCATTTTATGGACATCTGTGTTAGGAAATCCCTATTAATTATATTGAGACAACAGACAGGATTATTTAGTAAGCTTTAGAACAATTATTAATAGGTTTGTTGAGAACGCCCAACTAAGTGTTCCTGCAAAATGTATACATTTTATGAATTGCAGGATGATTTTTACTGTATGCTCTGAGAATATTAACTTAATTCTTGTGGGATTATGACCTAAAGCTGGAAGGAGACCTCTTAGGGAAGATGTAATTGCTTTGTATAACTACCTGAAGGGAAGCTGTAGTGAGCTGGGGGTCGGCCTCTTCTCTCATGTAACTGGTGATAGGACTAGAGGGAATGGCTTCAAGCTGTGCCAGGGAAGATTCAGGCTGGACATTAGGAAATACTACTTCTCCGAAAAAGTGGTCAGGCACTGGAATGGGCTGCCCAGGGAGGTGGTGGAATCACCGACCCTGGAGGTGTTCAAGGAACATTTGGATGTTGTGTTGAGGGACATGGTTTAGTGAAAGCTGTTGGTGATAGGTGATGGTTGGACTGGGTGATCCTGTGGGTCTTCTCCAACTTCGGAGATTCTGTGATTCTGTGATGATGAAGAATCATAGAATCATAGAACTATGGAATGGCTTGAGTTGAAAGGGTCCATAATGATCATCCCATTCCAACCCCCTGCCATGGGCAGAGTTTCCAACCATTAGACCAGGTTGCCTTGAAAATCTCCAGAGATAGGGCATCCACAGCTTCTCTGGGCAGCCTGTGCCAGTGCCTCAATACCCTCTGATTAAAAATTTCCTTGTAACATCTAATCTAAATCTCCCCTCTTTTAGTTTAAAACTGTTTCAGCCTGTCCTATAACTGTAACTAAAGCAAGGTTCAAGGAAGAAACAGTATTAAGTTGAAGGAGCCGGTTTTTTTTCAGCAGCTTTCTCCGGTGAGGAACCTGATCGTGGCTGGTTGAGTCATAGAAGTGGGACCACGATGTATGATCCACAGATGCTAGCATTGCTGTGGACCCAGTGTATGAATGCAAGATGGTTCATCAGCCAACTGCCCACACATGCCCTTCACATCTGATACCTGGCTCTCTCCCACATGCACTCCATCTGAGCAGGCTTCCCCCTAACAAATAACCTCTTCCCCACCATTTCTCCTCGTTGCTTTGTCATTTCTGCTCCTTCTGCCCTGGTTGTTCTCCTCATTTTCAACTGGACTTCCAGCTTTCTGGTGAAGCAATTTTGCCCTGCCAACAGTTTCTTCTGTGTTGATCCAAGAAAGCCCCTTTTTGCATGCATTGGTAGATCTCAGCTATGGTTGTACATCTGGGGCAGAGGATGTGGCAGGTCTCATTCAGGTATCTCAAATAGACAGGTCTCAGGGTTCACAGGTTGCAGGCAGTGCCTTAAATCCACAGACACTTAGTGCAGATTAAAAGGCACTGGTGTAATGCGCTCAAAGCACGATATCCTGCTTTACAAGCGGGTTGCCGCATTCTGCACCAGCTTCAGCTTTCAAATGGATTTAAAATGTAGCCTCAGGTATAGCGCATTGCAGTAGTCTAATCTTGAGGTGATAAAGGCATGACTGATTTAACCATAGCTTCTTGTTATCTTGGACTGGGGTCTTTTCATTTTAACCATTTTAGGGAAATGGCCTTTCCTGAATCAGCAAGCTTGCTTCAATTCTTACTATGTAATAAGCCACAACAAGAGCCAACCTCTGTCACTTGTGAACACCTTCTGTGAACGTGTGAACTGCACGGATGCCAGACCCCAAGAACCTCAACGGTGGTCTTGACTCATCTTACAGCTCACACAATACACCACTGAGTGACTTCAAAGGGAAGCCATTGGCAGCTGCCAAGCTTTACAAGCAGCCAGAGCCTTGTGAAGTTTTGCTTTCATATTAGGAGTTTATTTACATACCTGCACAGTGCAAGAGCACAGCTATGGGAAGGTGGGAAATGTGTTGTAGGTGTCCACTGGCTCTGGTGGACTGATAGAGCTGCAAGATGAAATGCCCTGTACCTCCTGTGGCCTGCCTGTGGTGCCCCGTTACCATTCACAGCTGAAATGGTGACAAGCTTTACCAGCAAGCTGACCTGGAAGCTAGTTTAGTGATCTCCTTGTAGTTCTTTAAGGTTAAAAAAAAACTCTATCAACAGTGTTCAGCTAAGTGGACTCACATCCTAACTGCTGGTGCTCACTGTGCTCCTGCCGCTGCACATCGGAGTGGATGAGGCACCAGCCTGGGCTCGTCTCATTGCCTGGAAGAAACCAGGGCACTAGCCTGGGACTAAGCCTCCCCACTTACTAAAAGAGAAATTAATCTCCATGAGAAAGTCAAGCGGTATCTCTGTATCTTATTTCTTCCTCAGCAGTATGTGGTTAAGTATAATCCTTTCCCAGGACATATTATTCGTCCTGTCTATGTAGATAATAAACTATTGCCCAGCACAAGAAGATCCTGATGTTATTTGAGGCTTTTTGATACCACCTTAATGCAAATATTAATACCTTACAGATGGGAGAGAAACAATTAAATGGCAGATGTCTGAAAAAGGAATTGGATCTTATGAAAATTAAATAGATGATCTCTTCTGCTCTTGAAGGCTAATTTTTTATTATTATTATTTTCATTTTCTTTCTCTCTCTTTTCTTTT